CGCGACGTCGGACGTCGCCGCTGGCCGCGCTGCGCCGCCGCGCCGCCGCGACTGCCGCGAGCCGCGAGACGTCTCCGTTTTGACAGATTGTGTGCGTTCCACGTGAACTCTTTGTTTGGACGCCGGGAATGCCGGAATGATCGCGGGGTGGTAGCCGGATCGGTCAGGCCACACGTTCTGACACGTTCGTCGTCCGGAGAATTCGAATTCGTGCTCAAGCGCGATAAGTACCGCTTTTGGGAGCGTCCGTTCAGGTCGTTCAGGTCGTTCTCTCGACTGCGCCTCGTGAGTCTCGTCGCCTGAATCCCGTAACTCGTTTTCGACAATGCCCAATCGTCGTTGGTTGTAATCGCAGACCAGACACCAGACCAGACACGTGAGCGCCTTTGAGCGCCGCATCACTCCTTTGCATTCGCATGGGGGCGGGGGTTATGGGACGAGGAAAAAGGTGCTATATTTAGATATTTCTTTCGCCTCCTTTACTTATCTCGAGCAGACCGGATAAGCCGGATGGGAGAGACCTAGAATGTAATTTTTTTTTTTTTTTTTTTTTTTTTTTGTGTTTTGTGTATGCGTGTGTGTGTCTAATTAGGATGTGTTGTGCAACAAGTATCAATTGTAGCCCTTCGTGCGATGGAATATCGATGCTCCTCGACAAGAATGGGGCTCCATTCTCGTGCAGGAAAATGATACTTTCATTATTGTTGCTAGGGAGGCCCTCCTGTGATGGCAGGGAAAGATGGGAAGCTAGAGTCAAAAGGTGGAGACGTTATTCGGCAGGGATTCATGATAAAACGTTCGCAGAACAAGAAGCGCTTTACCCCGGTCAATTACAAGCAACGATGGTTTATCCTGACCAAACATTATCTCATTTACTACGACGGAGATGGTGAGGTGAGTAATTTGAATATATCCAAATGTTTGACCTTCTATTACGATCATGTTCAATTTGTGGCCGTGTTGGAAATTATATTTTCTCTTCTATTTTTGATTCTATTTTATTTATGCAAACGAAATAAACATTATACCTACGGTCTGCAAGATTTCCCCTATTTCTCAAAGTTGCCTGTTTCTCATTTATGCTAATTTGTGTTAACAAGATGTACATCTATCGAGCACGACGGTTGGAAGATGTTTTAATCAAGTCCATTAATTTGGTCCGTGATTTCAATAACATTTTACTAAAAGGAATTTATAAATTGTTCAACAAACATTCATCGAGTATAAAATTCCAGGAAACATTTCCAGGAAACACACTACTCATATTCTTTTTTACAGTTGCACAAAATTCACACATACATAGAAAATTATAATAATTTTTTTATCACGGAATCTTAAATTTCAAAAAAAGTTGCATTACAAACCTTATAATTTTGTGATTAATACGTAATCATAAACTTAATTAGCTATTAAGCTAGTAGGTAATTATTCGGTAACAATTCGGCGATTGTAAAACGTCCGATTTTTTGTTTTTATCCAAGAGACAATTAGACAAGAAGTCATTTATGCGTCGTCTACATTGAACAGTCTACAATACACGGAGTAAGAAGTAAAGAGTATGAAATTGACCAGTCACAGTCGGTTATTCTCACATTCGACTGTGATTGGTCAATTTCTTACTCTTACCTCTTACTCTTACTCCGTGTATTGTCAGAGGTTGAGCGGGTTGAACACGACGAGCAGGGTGGAGGTGATCGGTAACCGCGTGCGATCGTGACTAGCACCAATGGCTATCTCCGTCTCCGTCATCCGCATTGAGCGAGGTAGGAGGGGGGTGGTGATGATCTCCGGTAGGAGATGGCGGATAACGTGCACCTATACCTATAAAATTAGTGGCGCAGGCGCCCCGCGTGAATTTTCCATCCTATCTCTCCTTCCGCTTCTTCGTCGTTGATGCTGCTCAGTCAGTGGCCGTCGTTCGAGGGTCAGTCTCGACGACGCACGATCCTTAGACATCGTTTGGTATCGTTCCACACAAGTTGACGATTCCTCGGACGAGTCTATAACGCTTTAATCTCTGATCTCTCACTCTCTCTCTCTCTCATACGGCGAACAAAATAGAGAGACACACGCGGACGTAATTCAGCCGTTCTGCTGGTGAATCCTGTCCTATTTGATAGGACAGGAGAGTAGGGTTCCACAGTACACCTGTCGGAACCCTACACGACACTCCTTGTAGAGACACCAATTGTGATCAGCTGTGATCTCAATTATCTTTTTACATCGCTCCGCGAGAGAATCTCGGACCTCTTACGCGAATCCTACCGATTTGCGGTCATCCTGTTCACCACGTCACGAGCTCTACCATACAACGTGGAGGTAAAGAGCCGAATTCGGATACCTTTCTCTTTGTTCCGTTCTTTCGTTTTTATTTAATTGATTAGGCTGTCCATCCGAATGAATTCCGCTAGAAATGTTTCCGTTTGCAAATTACTTTTTCGCGTCTAAAGTGTATAGATATACCATACCAATATTCCAGTGATAGACCCACTTGTATTGTTTCAGTTTTCTCAATAAAAATCAACATCCACGTGCTAAATACATCCCCTCGTCAACGAGTATCTCCAAGTTATTTCGACACATTCAAGATTTCTAATTCTGATAATACTGTCATTATGCGATTTATATTGTCCTTGACCTTCTCTCTCCCTCCCTTTATCCGAGCTCTGGTGTCAAAGTTGTTGGTGTGAGCGCCAACCGATTTTTTATTTTGAATGAATCGACTGTTAATGCTAATCAGATGAGAAATTGTTGCAGCGCCGCAAGGAACGCGGACGGATCGCCGTGGAGAGCGTCCACGTGGTGGAGACGGCCAGCCTCGGGAATGGTGGAGGTGCTGTCAGTGATGTGGCGGGCGGCGGTGACGCCGCCGGCGGAGGAGGCGGCGGCGGCGGAATACCATCCGGACTGCCTTTCCAGGTGGGATATCGGGAAGCTGGTCAAGAGTACACCCTCTACCTCCTCGCCGCTCGCGAACAGGATCGCGCCGAATGGATACGCGCTATACGCGCTGGTAAGTCTCCCTCTTCCTCCACATCTTTCTTTCCCTCCCGTAACTAGAATGACGAGTCTTTCGGGGTGCCCAATTTTTATCGCAAATACAAGGAAAGGTATTAAAAGGAATTTTTTCTACGTTTAAATATAAAAAATACGTATGTTTGTAGATGATACGATTTTTGTCGCTGAAAACGAATCCGTAAATAAAATTGCCTATTGCTCTATCAGGTTTTTGAGAAAATTGATACTAAAGATGCCAAAAATAATATTTTTCGATTTTTTTGAGCTGAAATGTCCGAAAAACGTAACGACACACGTAATTGACAGATTCGTTTTTAGCGACAAAAAATCTACAAGAATCATTTTGTTCCGTTCGTGATTTAAAACAGCTGTGTCGGATAGTATAATCTATAAGACTCTAAATCCATTATTGATGTTGTACGTACAATATGCATGATTAAAGGTTTTTAAAATATGCGAATTGCAGTAAAATTGCAGTAAAATTCGGACCGACAACGTCTATTAAATCAATTCCAAGAGTAAAATTCAAAGTCGTACCATAAATGGTCATTTAAAGCGCAATATGTTATGCTTAAGAACAATTTGCGAACGACTACTTATTTGTAGTGTGCAGTGAGAATTCGGGCTTGAGCGGACGTTATCACGCGGGCCTATGGAGCGGAAAACGTTGGTCCTGCTGCCGATTATCAACACGCTCCGCCGAAGGCTGCGACACTTGCAGCTCCTGGTCCTCGAAGCCAGCTACGAACGTTACAAATCCGTCCTCGACGACAATGTCAGCCTCGACAACATCGACAACGTCCGTGCCCGGCAGCACCAATACCATTAACAATACCATTTCAACGACCATCGTCACGTCCGATCATCGTTCACAATCCAACGCCGAAGCGAATAACAATCCGATCGTCCAATCCCAGACTCGCTCAACAATCGGTTCGTATTTGACATTTATTACATTTTTACACGCTTTCATCCTCGTCTTTCGTTAAATAATTCCGTGTAAAGTAATTGGCGAACCGATGCGCTTCTCGTTTCAAAAGAGTCTTGGGACTAATGCTATTTAATAATGGATCATTCGTCGAATATAAAAATTCGATCCAGAAAAACTTTATTCATTTACCTGCATCGGACTTTTTTTTCTATGTCGATACGTCGTTCAGTTTTGTTACGATACGCTTGCCAAAATCTGCCAATTTGGCACCACGTAAATTTTATGCAATCATCGAACGAGCTAATTATGACCTAATTGGATATATAAACAATCGCTGGCGATGTATATATGAATCCTCGGGTTATCGCGAAAGAAGTATATTTTATCCGAGCGCGTATTGAAATAACGCATAAAGCGAACGGGTGATGCATGTAAACAGCGATATGTAATTAACTGTTAACAGCTTTAAACATTTAATATGGGTAATAACGAGTCTACCTTGTTTCAAGATCGATCTTGTTTATCGGCATGCTGTAAACTTGTTTTATTGTATAATATAATTGAGCGAGAATGATCCACATTGCTTAATTAAGCAACGGATTCCCCTATAAGTGAATTAAGAAAATCTTTTTTCCCTCGCGTACGCTAGTACGAGTGACTAGTACGTATAAGGATAATAGAAAAGAATTGTTTCCAAGCGAGTGATTTTCTGGATTTCTTATATCTTCAAGCCTAACTGACTTAGAACGGCTCATATGTATGACTTGAAAAAGTTTATACATTTCTAAAGGCGGAAAACCCTAAGCGCTCTCTATATAAGAGTAGGAAATACAGCATAAATTTTTGCTTCACTCTCGTGAAATTTTTATTTTTTAACGAAAGAAGATAAGAGACTCATGCATTTTTAATAACTACAGAGAGTAATGTCGTTGAATAAGGAAATTGATTCTTACTCATTTCGAGTGATTTTGTCCGAAAAAATAAGCACGATTGATAAGTTGACGTGGTGTGCACTCATGTAGGTATATGTGCGCCCTTTTGTTGTCGATCTCTCTTCGAGGATTAGACGAAAAACAATGAAACGGAGTTTTGCTGTAAACAGAACGATATTCGAACCGTCGCGACGTTGGAGCCTCTCTGTCGAAAACTTTTCTCTTAGACAGAGTGACATTTTCCTGACTTTTCGCGAACCCGAATCACATCGCCGTAAAATTGTCTCGGTCAAGTGTCATTCTTTCCGAGTGATTCAGCGAACGCTCCAGTTCCTTTATCGCTCGAGACAAGATAGTCCTCCGATTTTGCTAATAATGTTCCTGATATCGCGTATCGATAATTAAAATTTCGCGTAAAATGAACGTATTTCCATCTGACGGAAAACGAAATTCGAGACGGGAGAAAGAAATCTTTCAAACTCCTAGCTTCCCCAACGTGGATTAATCTGATTATAAAGCTCATTACTCGGATCACCGGGGCACTTGAGGAAATAGAGTTGTCATCGATGCGACGAGATATACGACTCAGATATAGGTCTCAGAGAAAGAGAGAGAAATATAGCGAAAAATACGTTAGAATACGTAACTCTTATTCACAAATACCCGAAAGCATGACATTTTGCCCTGCAGGAGCAAGATGTGACGTAGATGACAGTTTTTACGAAGGAAAACTTATTATTAGATAGCCTTTTATAAAAGATCGATACGCGAGCGATCGCGTAAAATACAACTGCCTACATATAGGCACCTCTATGCCATATACGAATTGTCTGTATATAATTCGCGAATATTAACGAGTTTCAAGTTATTATCCAGGCTCTGGAATGATATACTATAGTTTTCATAGCAGCTTTTTTCCTTTCTCGAGGTTTATCTTTCTCGAGTATGTCAGTCCATTATCCATTTGCATTAAATGCATTAAAGTTTTAGAGCGAATTGATATATATTGACGGCGGCGAGTCGCGCGAGAAACTTGCGATCGTCTTCCAAGACTCGAACCAAGTCTTGGCGACCTACTTAACGGCAAATTAAATTTCAGACATTTTAATTGCAAATTCGAGTATTGAAATGCGCTTAATATACTGCCAGGGCACTGCGTGTATAACGAAAATATATATATTTAATCTCGATTGATCAAATTTATTCCCACGACGCCCGGATTAAATTTATTCTCGGAACATCGGGCGCCGCCGCGCCGCGCCGCGGCAAATTAATCCAATTAATTTATTTTGTTAAAGAAACGCGGCATTTTTACACGCATACCTTTCGGCAAATTTCATCGTATTATTCTTCATCGTTCTTTTTTCCATCTTTCTCGAATAGTTGAACCTTAATGATGTTACGTAACGATCACTATTCAGTTAACAATTATCTCAATTAATCGCTCAAGGCGTTTCTCAATAAATTGCCTGTAATCAAGTTCTAGCATTGTACAATAATTTGTTTAAATCGCGATCATTCCGTCTATTTAATTTCGAGAATCGGCGATTTGCGAGAAGTTGTCGCGTTTTTATCCAAATTGACATTCGCGACGTAGCACCGGCCTCCGCGTTGTTTCCACGGCAGATAGGCCTTGCATTTATGTATGCAATATTCAACATCCTCGATGCTTCTGGCGCAATGAGACGCGACTCAAGACTCAATGTAGCACGAATCTAGTACAACTTGGTTTAGTACAGTTTTTTAATAGTGATTTAATAGAATTTAATACGCGCGGAAAGTCTGGCGGTGCCGTTGTCGAAAATTTTATGAATTTGAAGTCGCATATGTTGGTACGTGAATTTCAAAGTGGCATTTAGATTTAGCAAGTAGATTTGAGTAGCCTTCGGATTCACAACGTTTCTGCGTTTTACCCACTGGTTAGTCTTTTTACCCTTTGTGATAGGCCTTTGCGATGAAGACCTTTAGAGAGAGAGAGAGAGAGAGAGAGAGAGAGAGAGAGAGAGAGGGGGGGGGGGGGGGGAATGTATGTCTTTCTCTCTCGCATACAAAATACGACTCGTGTCTAATTAAGAACAAGGGCCGATATTCATAGTCGGTTCTTACATTTAAGTACAGTCTTGATACGTCATAAGCCTATCACAGAACAGTATTAGCATTTTAAGACATTACTTGAGGCGGTCTTAAAATAAAAATGTACTATGAACATCGGCGGCCTCTCTTTCTCTCATGAACTTGTCTTTAGCCCGTCGACGCGCAGGGCACTTGATCTTTCATCCTTCGAATCCTGCCGCTTTAATTTGCTCGCCACGATATCAGACGTGACACGACTCCATTATATGAACGTCGAGTAGGTCGAGCACGCAATTAACAAGTTTGCTTGAGAACGGTGCGCGACGAGAAACTACAGTTAGCAAATGAATGCAGTCGAGAGCTAAATCTTAACTACTTCTGACGTTGCAATACGGCGGGGGCGCGTCGTGAAATGCAGCCGGCCTTTTTTTCTCTCGAGCATCCTTGACTCGTCGTCGAGTATAAGCCTCGCGCCCGTTTTCTTTCTTTCTTCTATCTTTCCCCGATGTGAGATTTTCTTTACACCGAAGCGGATCGCTCGTATATTCGAGACTAGCAGTATTCAGAATAGCAGTCGACGCTGCTAATTGAGTCTTTCGTCAAATATCGATCGAATCGGTTCGCTTCTTTGCGATTGAATATTGATTATTTTTATGCCAAAAGCGATACTTTCAGCTGTTTCCGTTTTGCATCTTTCTAAACGGCCGGTTTCATCAGAATCTTAAAAAAAAAGACTATTGTACCAAATTATAAAATCCAAGTGGTACTGTTCTTATTATTTACTTAATTAAGTTGCTATATCAATCTACTATGTGTTACCAGGCACGAAAGGATGAAATCGTCGATTTGATGCTAATAGCATCTTGGAACTCATAAAGAACTTATTGCGAAAAATACTTCTTACCTCAGCCAGGATTCGAATCTTCCGAATTCCGTGCGGGCGTCCTCCCAATTGGACCTCCGAGCTCCGAGGCGTGTTGGCCTCTTAAGACCTCTCAGGTACTGCAGTAATTTATCGCAGTAATCAATATGTATAGAGAGAAAGTACACATAGAAAAACAGCATGTATAAATGCAATAATATTAAGATTAGAACACAGGCGGGGCACCGTCCTGAAAATATCTTTATTTTCCCTGCTCACGATTGCGATAAAAAAAGCGCTCGCTTGAATTCAGGAAGAATTTTCTTTTATCGAGTTGCGAAAAAGAGATAAATATTTAATTCTCAAGCAAAATCATTATTTCTCACTGTACAAAATTCTCGATTTATATAATATTCTTGATATTAATTTGACGATAGACAATTTTCTGCCGTATTCAGCGCTTCCTGCGTAATTATCAAGTCTCTGGATATATCAAGCGATATTAGGAATATTAGTTTCCGGGCTGGTACGGGCAGGAACAACGTCCACGTAACGCATCGCGCGTCACAGTGCGTGTCGAAGAGTCGTCATCGTCGGCGGCATTAATCGGCGGCGAGGGAAGACTTCCGTGAAGGTGAAACTCTGAGGAAGGGGACTAAGCGAGACGGCGACGGCGACGACGACGCAGCCACAACTACGAGCACGACTCCGACTCCGACTCCGACTCCGACTCCCTTTCGCATTGTTGCTCGCGCGCGCTTAGACATTCTCCGAGCCGAGCCGAGCCGAGCCCAGTCCGCGTCGAGCCGCTTCCACGGTCGCTTCCGCGCCTTTACGAGGCCTTTACGAGGCCGTGTCTTGCCGTTACTCGCAAAGTGTCGCGGTGCGGTGCGGTGCGGTGCGGAGAATTCTCCGTGTGCCGGTGCGGGTGTCCGTACCAGATGTTGATCACGACGGGCCGTTAGCCAACGGGAGCTATGCTGGTGATAAGCGCCTTAAAACAGGTCGCGAACGCCGCTACCAACGCGGTTCATTCCGCTACCGGTAACGTTATCGGGCACGCTCACAGTAATTCCGGTGAGTCGACATTTTCCTTTCCCTTTCCAAATTCGAACGATCGCTCCTCGATATCTCT